GTAATATGCAAATTGACCCTAACAGCAGAACGACTGGGAATGACTGGTCACTATGACACACACTGACCACCAGGGGGCAGACGCTCAATGCAGGAGCTGCCCCCTGGTGGTCAGTGCCCCCTGATCTCTGCTCAGCCACAAGCCAGGCTGACGGCTGCCAGCACAGCGGTGGTGGCGGGAGAGGCTCCTCAGCAGCGCTAAGGATGTCCGACTGCAGTTTAGGCCTGCTCCCCGCTGGCAAGTGGACATCCCGCGAGGCCTCCCGGGCTGCCAGAGGGATGTCTGACTGCCAGCTTGGATTGGGCCTAAGCCAGCAGGTGGACATCCCCAGAAGGGTCCCAGACTGCGAGAGGGCACAGGCCGGGCTGAGGGACCCCCCGAGTGCACAAATTTTTGTGCACCGGGCCTCTAGTTATTAATATAATCTGGGTGAGGTGGATTGGGTAGGTAGAAAGCCTTCCCTGGGGAAATAAAGCCTGAATTGCCCTCCAGTAGAGAGTAGGAGAGCCAGCCAGGCTACAAGTGGGTGAAAGAGGAGAGTTCATTCTAGGCAGAGGGAACACTTTATATTAAACCTGGTAAAGACTGAAGAAAACTTGGTACAGGAAATTCTAGAACTTTAGTAGGGCTGGGTGTGAGTTAGGAGGGATCAGAAAATGTATTTGTTCTAAGTAGGGCTTTATTTTGATGGTGTTGTTAAAGAATGAGAGATACTTTCAGAAGATTCTTGCCTTCCTCTGCAATAAGCACTTGTTTTTGGGTCTAACAAGCTTCCCCCCTAAACTCTTCCAGTGACTTCCCATCACTTATAAGGTACAGTTTTAAAACTTTATCATATTATATTTCACCCATATGATTGTCTCTCACAAGTCACAATGGACTGCTTTTAATTCCCAAAATTCACTGTCCTTCGTAACCTGGTGCCTGGACATGTGCCACTGCCTTCACCCTAGAATTTCCTTTCTCACTGCGTCCTATGGCAAATTCCTCCTCATCCTTCAAGATAGTGAATGATATACAAAAATCGGTTGTGTTCCTAAGCTAACAGTCCTTTTATACAATAAGGCTAAAAGGAACTGTGCAAGATTAATAATCTTTACTAAGGGATCTGAAAGAAAGGTGAATAAATACTGTGGTTAGGTTTGGAAGTACTGAATACAATAAAGGTGTTAATTCTCCCCAAATTTAGTGTATTTAATATAATTCTAATCAAAGTTACTAACTAGCTATACAAATATTTTATAATTATTTTAAACTGACTACCTGATTCTAAAGTTCATCTGAAAGAATAAACATAAAGTATATTTGGAAGGAGAAACCAAGATGGCCGCATAGGTAAACACCAGAGATTGCTGCCTCGCACAACCACTTCAAAAATACAACTAAAAGATGGAACGGACATCACCCAGAACCACAGGAAGGCTGGCTGAGTGGAAATTTTACAACTAGAAGGAAAGAGAAAAACATACCGAGACTCAGAGGAGCTGCAGTGCGGAAGTAAAATACTAAGGTACAGAGGCGCACGCGGAGCGGGCTGGCGGCTGAGGGCGTGGTTGTCTTTTTCAATTGGGAGGGAGTCTCAGGCTCTGAGCTCCAGTTCTGGGCGAGTCTCTGGGGACCTAGATTCATACGGGAGAAGCGGACTGTCTGGCATCGGTCGGAACTTGAGGGCAGCTTTCTCTCGGAGGTACTTGCAGCGATTGCCTGGACACTGAGAAGCGGGGCCTCTGAAGGCAAGACTGAGAGTCTCAGGCGAGCTCCAGTTCTGGGCGAGTCTCTGGGGACCTAGATTCATACGGGAGAAGCGGACTGTCTGGCATCGGTCGGAACTTGATGAGGGCTTTCTCTCGGAGGTACTTGCAGCGATTGCCTGGACACTGAGAAGCGGGGCCTCTGAAGGCAAGACTGAGAGCAGCCATAACTGCTCGCTCCGCCTGCCCTGTTGATCCCCTGGGACCCGCCCCGCCCAAGCCTTGCACGGAGGCATTTGCTGGATAGCCTCAGGCAGAGGCTAGATTAGCACCTCCCTAGAGCTCCAGGACAGAAGTTCTCCCACTGCAGACACAGCTGATTCTCACAGCCAATTGGCCTGGAGGCCAATTCCTCCCAGTGATACCTACAACAATCAAGGCTTAACTACAACAAGACTGTGCACAAAGACCACAAGGGGGTGCACCAAGAGTGTCTACCTCAGGTAATTGGGACACTTAGCACAGAAAGCCACTCTATCGACACAGCGAAGCATAAAAAAATGCCGAGACAAAGAAACAGGACACAAATGACAGAAATGGAGGAAAG